AAAAACGCTAACTTGGACATCCCTTTATTCCTGCAATTCTTATGCAAACTGTTATGTCTTTTCGAWAAATATTATTGATTCATTTAACGAAACCTTTTTAAGACAGATCCGTAAATTTAAAAGTCGATAACTATCGACTGTAGTTGACTGTTTTTTATAACAAGGTGTTCACACTATTAGTGAGTAAATGTTATTTTGTTATTGGCATGACTCACTATACTTATACGCCTAGTAAAAATGTTAATAAGAGCTTATAAAACTAATGGTAGTATGTCCCATTTGGAAAGCACTTACATACATATATATAGAGTACAGTATTGATTGCAAAAAGCGTCATTACCTATTTATCTTTGCACATACACTTCCGCAGTAGATTTCCATTTATTTAATTTTGATTGCGTTAAGCTCTCTCATAGTGACTATTTCATTTAGAAAATAATGACATYTCATTCAATAGCCAACAATTTTCATTAATTTTAAAAGCGTTAAATATATTTTGTATTCCTCTGCTGCTATGTGCATATGTAATTTTTTATTATAATTRCGTTTGAGGAAATTACGCATTTTAATAATTGATTTGATATTGRAATTAATGTGATCTGGCAAATTAATTCCATACATACATATGTATGTACGTATATTTTTCGCATTTCACGCAGTGAATAACTTGTGAAATCTTGACTTGCATCTGTTTGTCATGTAATTCGAAATCATGAATCAAAAATCTTTGGAAGCATATTTAAATCTGAATATTTCAACGCTCTCGGTTATTACTAAAGGTCAATAGTTTATTTAGAGGTCACATTAGCTGGAAAAATGCTCAAATTAAAAACTATAAAAATTATCTACCTTTTATCTCGATACAATCACATAATTGAAAAATAATTGCAAATGATAATTATACAAAAAATTATTATTATTATGTAATTATTAGATATTTTTTTGTGAATTGAAAATTTCAACTTCAATTTACCTATACTTTTTTTTTGTCAAATTTATGAAAATCCTCAAAAGTAAAAGTGTAAAATGTAAACAGCATTTAAATTGCGCAAACCATTTCACTCGAGTCAACACGATAGTCATCGTTTTTAATTGCCTACATTAGCGCAAAAATACGACGTGCTTCTGCGCACTTTCTGCTGATAATTCGAATCAATAAACACAAATGTTAAGTSTTATAACGGCACGTTTTGTAAGTTCAAATTTACATAATGTACGACTTAAGCATATGGCCAGATTAGTAGAACAAATTCTAATATAGCAATATGTTTTTGCATGTATGTACATACACTAAACTCTAAAGTATTCGAGCTTATGAGATTACGTACGGTACCCACAATTTACGAGATAAACAATATTTAGATTCTAGAGAACGACAATCTTGGAAATATGCTGAGGTTAAAGGTATATTGAAAACAGCTAATTGGATTTTTAACAATATACAATTCTAGTAAGACATATCGRTTTGAAGTTAGTATAAGTAACCTCAAAATGTAGCTGCGGATTAGGATGAATATCTTTCGAGAAATACGAATTTAAATATGTTTAACATATAAAACGTTTTCATACATTTTTGTATATATTTCGACGTAAAAATTCAAAATATCCCTCGTTGAACCATTTTATAAAGATTTCAAAAACATAAGCAGATGTGTAAATTATTTCCACTTTGGAGGCGGGCTTCTTAAAACGGCATAATTACTCTTGTTGAAAATAAATTATCCAGATCATGTCAATATAATTCTATCGATTATTATTTGGAATGCCATTCTACACCACTATTCTGTTTGCAAAATGTTGTTGTCACCTGACAGTTGACAAGCATAAACGAATAATATGAATTGAGTGTAATATTGTAAGCTGTTTATGTTTTGTAGCACCTTATTTACTGGTTTAAGTAATAGCATAAAATATTTGGTAAATTTCCCTTATTAAGCAACACAAACAGATTTAATTTTGTGCTATTGTATATTTTTTTATTTTTCTTCAATAATTTGTATTATTCATTCTTTTTTGCTTATCAAGTGAGAGGGAAAAATACAAGCACATTCATATTATTATCTAMACAGCTATAATAAGTAATTTATATGTAGTCGTGCTAATGAACCCATTTGAACTTAATTAGCATGAAGTATGRAATTTGGTGATTATTTAGATTTTACCATAGACAACTCAATTCCTATGCACATCAGCTGATATGAAATGTATGTCAGTATGTTTTTGGTGATTTTTTATATTTTTTACTTGCACAACAAAATCGGYGTTTCAATGCCAAATACTCGTTGGCCTCATTAGAGTAGGATATTTATATATTTAYTTATAAAGGGTGCYCGATTTYGAGGTTTTCYACTTTTTTAAAGAAAAAACAGAAACTTMAAGTTTAATGGGGAATGTTTATTATCATTCGAAAGAACATTCTTTGATATTTATTTTTTGAATATTAGCTCTTTATCTGTTGAGTCCAATTTTCGAATTGTCTCAATAAAGTGGTAAGTTTTAGGCATCAAATAGTCGGTTATTATTAGGCGATAATGGTCCCCATTGACGGTTACGTTCTCAATGGCATCATTTTTGAAGAAAAATTCCACCGGCTCACAAACTACACCAAATCATTGTTTTTTCTGGAGAAAATGRCATCKTTTGAAACTCTTAAGGTTACTCATCGTYCCAAATGCKKCAATTTCGCTTTTTTRYATACYCATTGAGTGAGAAATKGGCCTCATTGCTGAAGAAAATTTAGTTCGAAAACATCGTATCTTCTTGCAAGTTCTCAGGAACCTRTAGACCGAAGAAAGGTCGAGTGGTCGAGGGAAATGAATCTGTTATTCATCATATTAAACTTCCAAATTTGCAAAATAGAGTAGAATAACTACTAGAGTTTGACATTTTAACGTACTACATATGTATATCAAAGCTTGATAGTGATCGGTAGTATATACAAAATGACAAGAGCCATCTCAATTRCCTGGAAAGTAGTCGATATTCACTTATAGTGTAATGTTGTTTGCCTGAGTATTTATTATTGGCGTGAACTATATCTTATTTATATATTATAGATATAAGCTATTATTCACCCAACGCTTCTATGACGTTATCATCTGTTAATTTACGCGATGAAAGCTTTGAACAGTTAAACAACTAGAACCTACGCTCTTACACCTATTACGTTATGAGCGCTTAATATAGCCATATTAATATGTGTATGTGTATATGAATGCAATATATATGTACGTGTGCACTAAATTTTATGGTCGCAATTTATTTGCTGGCTTACATCATTTTGACCAACCACAATGTGATTGATTTTCCGGTATAGCAAAAACAGGAAATTGTTTAATTATTTTTTATCACTTTCTTATTGCTCTCGAAATGAAGTAATCGCAACTAATACTTAGATGAATCATTTTTATACTTACACAGGGTATATTAAGTTTGCCATGAAGGTTATAACATCCAGAATGAAATGTGGGCAGGGTCTCAGTTAAATKTTGAGGCCACTRACTCCGAATTTCSGAAATAAATTTTAATAATTTCGATTCGTTGTTGAATCATATATGTTTCTATGATGAAATGGCAAACCTTACTGAAGAGAAATGTCAAAAGAGCGGGAAAAATATGGCGTCGTTTGTGGTCCCTTTCTTTATTTTTTATTCGGTTGTTTTTTCTTATTTATATACAAATTTATGTTATTGATAACCGTTTCTTAAAAGATATAATTTGTTTTAAAAAATACTTTAAATTTAGGTACTGATTTCTTCTTATTAGTTTACAAAATTAATATTTTCATTAATGGATTATAACGTCATACCTTGCTCTTAGTTTCCATTAATTTTAACACGCCTCCATTGGAACCACTTTATACTAAGCATTTATATGTATGTGGTTACCAATGATTTCTTTTAAATTTTCAACATAAATTATACTCGTACCGAAAGTAAACGTAAAAATAAGTTCTCTTAAGGCTTTCCAAGCTAACATGCTATAAACACTCTTCTTTCATCAGCATAAAATAGGCGATAATAAAATTTCCCCATTTCAATTGTTAGTTCACATTTTACCATTACATGTTCATGCAAATGTATCTTTATAAAACTTTAATGTGACCTGACCTAAATTTCCACAAGCCACAAAAATAATATTGTCTTTAGGAGATGGTAATGAATATTTTACTCATATTTCCAGGTAAAATACCGTTTGTTGTTATTATTTGCTGCAAATATGCACATTATCATAAGGTAATTTAGTTTCCCAAAACGCTGAATATTTATCACTTCCTCTTACTCTCTACACAGACAGCTATTTGACATTGCCATGCGCCGTTTTGGCATAGACAGTTACGTTTATTTACTATAAAACTCTCGTGGACGACCTTCAACGGCATCAGCATTAATTTYGGTTGTACGTCTTGACAGCTGGCTGCATGCTAAGGGTTGAGAGTTGTGGCTGTGTCGCGTGGGTGTGTACGCAGGCCAGGTAGGAAGGACATAATATGAGTGCACATGCACTTGATACAAATCCTTGGGAAGCTGGCAAGTGCACTCGTACTTGTTGTGTTGTTGTTGCACGGTTATAGGCAACGAGGTTGTGGAAGTGTTTACACAGCTGAGATTGTACACTGTGTGCTCAACTCAAGGCCTGTGTATGCATTTTTAATAAGATGAATGAATTTGAAGATGCTAAAGAATATGATGAATTCAATGCATATCTATAGGCGCATTAACTTATAATATGTTGATATTATCTGGGCCTGACKKAGCCATTATATGTRTGTATGTATATTTGGATTTACAAWATACAAGTTTTATTTAGATAAATAAATGAGGTTTGCACCGCGACCTAAGTTCTATCGTGCCCTATGTTTTGGACAACTAAATATTTATTTTGTTGAACGAATGTGTGCAGTTGCAATTTTAATACATATCAACAATGATTTTATATGTAGTTGTGTGAATGATTAATAATCTTGTTAATAATAATTYTTTATTTCTCTCTCATTGCAGATATAACATAAAAGAAAAATAGAGGGTGTGAAATACAGACCTCTAAAATTAACTTGACACAAGGAAATTGTAAAAGAACAACAATTCCGTCTTTGCTACGGTTAGCGCCAAAGTAGCTGGATTTACACTGTTTTACGCCGAAGGGAATGGTATATTTCTTGGGGGATTGGGGCATGGGAGATTCTGACTGTACGTCATATCATCAACATGTTCCAACAATACAACAGACCACTTTGCATGCCCATAGCCACAGCCAACGCCAGCACCATCATCATCAACAACAGCAACAGCAACAACATGTACAGCAAATTCACGTACAACAGCAGCAAAATGAGCARCAACGTCTTGAATTGCAATTACAATTGCAACAACAACAACGACAACAACATATTGGTGAAATTGCACCTACATTAGGTCAACTATCGCCCATTCAATTTGGCAGCGGCACACCAGATGCAACAATATTGCTGAGCAGTACTCTCACAGCTGTACAACAACAACAGCAGCAACATTTGTTAACTAACTCACCGCAACATGTGGCGAGCAGCACTTTGGTTACAGCCAATTTGCAGCAATTGTCYGTGAGCAGTAACAGTCGCAGTAACAGCCACTGTTCGACCCCTATTAAGTCAACAGTGCTTGATGTTTTTGATAATACCGCCTATCAGCAACTGCAACAACAACCTACGCAACAGTTAAAGCAGCAGCAATCGTTGCCAACACAAGCACACCCGCTTGCCTCGGCGACAGCTGCTTTGCATCAGTATTTGGATCGTCAACGTTCCGATTCGTGTGTCGGTAATGTTGGCAGCTGTACGAATGCACCATCCACGCCGTCTGCACCAGCGGAACACGGCGCTAATAACAGCAACAACAGAGGATCAACGGCCGCAGCTAATAATTTCCTGCTGCCACAGCTGAGTAAGGATCTTCTGGAAAGTGAGGATGAAGTCGCACTGCAGCCGCTCTCCAATCAGGTATGTTTATAAGGAACTTTATRTGGTAAATTTTAGAATAGCATACCCCGATTTAGGGGTTAAATGTATGGATAGAGAGGTCCTCAAGATCAAGAAAACACATGGGTACAACATACCCATTTTAACCTCTAAATCGGGGGATTCTAAATCCCAGCTGTTAAGCTAGAGCTATTGTTATTTATATACTAGTAGTATACTGAATGAGTTCATGAACACATAAAAAACAGTTTGAAGAATTGATTACAGGTGCTTCCCACACCTATTTGTACATGTATGATTTATGAGTTCATCATTCATTTAGATTGTCGTTTCATTGATAAAAAGARTTTAAAGCCACAATTTGTATAATTTCTTTTTTATTGATGTTATCTTGCCTCAAATTCCTTGTATTGTATTTAATCACTTTCTTACGTCATTTTGGCAAATCGATCAATAAACTTTGTTATCGAAAATTATCGCACAATCACAAGCAAATATTTTTTTGTAATTTTATTGAAATCTAAAAGTGCGAAACTAATTTTTTTTAGCAAAATATATATAATAAGTAAATTTTAATAAATAAATAACGTAAACTCAGGTATCTTTATAAATAATGCATATATTTATAAATTAACCCAAATCACTTCCTGTCCGCAAAATAATTATTTTTGTGGCGAAAGAAATAAGTCACTTTTATTTGAAGCTAAATATATTTAAGAATAGAAATCATGTGCACACACATTGMAAAAATAAAATGTGAAAAATTAAGAAAGAAATAGACAGCTGTTGAATCAGCCAAATCGGTCAAGTTCAAAGTATTTTTTGTTTTGTTCTCGCGGTAACATGTTAAGGCGCGCGTACACACCTGCGCTGAACGAGGCTTTCAAAGGCTTTGCTGAAATTAGTATTTATTTTGAACTAAATATAAATTTTAATTTATAACATTTTAAAATAATTATAATCTTTTTTGCAACCCACTAAAGTAAACAATAGAATTATTAGAAAAAATATGTGCAGTCAAAAAGCTTCGCACAATTTGTAATTACCTTAGCAGAGAAAAAAGTAGCGTGCTATAAATAAATCCATATATAATATTTTAAAGATCGGCGCAGGCTAAATTCTCCGTGTGATATTTGTATGCACATATATCAAGAGGAAATATATGCGATATCGTTTGGATTATCTGTGTCATATCTCTTCGCATTTTCATTGCTCCCTCCTTTATCGATTTATCGTTATTTTATTTATAGCTGTATGTATTGAAAATAAAGTAAGAAGACAGCGTATTTAATATTTTTATTTTTGGTAACAGTTTTATGCACGCGTTCGCTCATTTTTCTGCCACTTTGTTGATCGTTTGGTTTTCTTGTTTTATGGAAAATATTTACTCTGTACATTATATGCACAAACGTGTGGTAAAAATCAGATTGTTTGTTATTTTTCTTTGAAAGTCATTGAACGCAGTAGCTGAAAAAAAGTCATTTCTTTGATGGTCCAGTTAAATAGATTTTAGGCCAATTACCTTAAAAATTATTGCATGTGCATTTTTTATTATTTAAAATCGGTTGCAAAGTTCGATTGTTTAAGTCAAAGTGGCTGTACATGGCATGCGTAAATATGATATYTCTGAAACGTAATACAGGATAGTTGTAGAGCTAAGCACCRGGGAAACAGTGGAGCATCTCTTGTGCACTTGTCCCGCATTGGCAAGACTACGCTGTAARCATCTGGGGTCCTCATGGTATAATGCACTGGAGGAGGAATTGATAGTGAGACCGCAGAGACTGTTAAAATTCGCGTCAAGCGCAGCTATCCTAAAGGATGAAKCTTGAACCTAAAAACTGAACGCCATCTATTAACGCAACGGACCAAAATTGATCTATGCTTATTACATATTAGATTAACATAACCTAACTTCATATAGAATACAGGAAGTAACGAATATCTTGTGTTKCATACCTTTCCTTGAAAGCCTTGTAATATGTCCGCAGAAATGTATAGACAGTTATATTACTTGTTCACACGTGCATGCATATATTGAAAAATCTGGCAAATTGCTCAACCTCTTATTACAGATATTCATATAGTAGGTTTGTGAACATGGATTTTATTGCATACATTCCTTACACAAAAATGTCACATTTTTCGACAGGAATATTTGTAATTGACGTCATATGGTTGGAATGTTTCCGATAATTTACGCAGTCTTTCAATTTTAATTATAAAAAAAAATATTCACACTTATGAGTATGAGCAGCTGAGAAAATATTTTTAGTATTATTTAATCTTACATATTATTGTATGTTATATAACGTGTGCACTTATATTACATATATTTCGAAAATAATTRAGTTATTTTAATGGTAACTTTGATGTTTAGTTAGTATGAACTTTGCTTTTTGCTAAGCCTTACAAATTGTTCAATACATATTTTTATAAATCGACATTATTTTTCATATTCGATAATTCCGTGCCAACAATCTGAATTATGATTAGTATTTAAATTAATGTGTACGCTTTTCGCTCCATATTTCAGGTCGGTGGCCACACACGTCTTCTACTGTTGAATCAATCGACTGTCATAAAGCCATTGAATTTGCGTGAATTGGACTTTTATCAAAACATTCCGCACGATGTACAGAAGTTTGTGCCCAAATACAAAGGTAAGCAGACGGCCACTTATTAGTTGTACACATACAAATATTCGAAGACAGGAAAAATAGAAAAGTAAGAACTAAAATATGTTTATCGAAATTTGTTTTATAGCTATCAGATTGCATTCATTTAAATCATTTAATGTTTTGCATATAAAAATAAAAATAAATATCACTAAAGGRAAAAGTAAAAAGTAAATATTTTAATATAATTTAGTGAATTTATTATCGCTATGTAATGCATTTTAAACAAGGTTAGATTTAAATGCCTATTATATGTCAACATTTAAAAATAATAACACAAAATAAAATAATTAAAATAAAATGGATGGAGTTGAAATTGTGCAAATAGTGGCTGCAAAAGTAATGTGGCACAATTACCATGCCATATAGCGATAACAGTGAATTGTGCATAGTACAAGTATAAAATTGAATTGTTTATCATTATGTAGATTTGCATATACCATACACGTATGTTTGTCTGCTCGTGTAAACTCCTTTCAGCACCTCATATCAAGTATCAATTACTGTCTACGACATCAAGTACAAATCGAACAATATAATTGAAATCATTAACCAACCAGCTCTTCACTCATCTCTTCATCTCTGTGCGTGATTTTTATGTTTCTCTATTCCTTTTTTTGTTTACTTTTAGCACTTTAAAGAAAGCCAGGAGACATTTTGTAAATATGGCAGTTTAAAATCTAATTATAACATGCATTCGAGTTATTAATTTATATTAGGCATATATTTCCATTTTTATAAGCTGTGATACGAGTAATATGCTATATAAATACAAATCTTATTATACGAGAGAGTAATATATATTGCATTATATAGGCTATACTCTTATGTAGTTAGCTAAATATTTATTATAAAAAATTGTAATCTGCTATTATGGTGCAAACTAATAAAATAAAGACTTACATACAACAATAAAAAAACTTTAGAAAAGTGACTTAGACAAATATTAAAACAAATGTATTTGTTACTAAAACAATATGAAAAAATTAAGCATAAACAAATAAAAACAACAAAAAAAAAAACAATTTGATAAAAAAAATATGCAAAATGTATTAAAGGCTTCTTTGTATTTAAGTAACAACTTTTAGAGACATTTGTTTTAACACTGAGAGAATACACAGGGTTTCAAATTACACCAGTAGCTTCACATTTTAATATGGATTTCTTTCTATCACAATCTACTCCTATGTGTATCAAAATTCTACACATAAAGTTCATATAAACATTAAGAGTTTTTACATCAATATTCAACACATGAACTGGCGAACGTCAACATTAAAACCCCATGACTTTCAGCTGAGTTATCCACTGTGTGCAAATTTGTTTACCGCGTATRCTGCAAAATTTAAGCTCAGCAAGAAACCACAACAAACCCTGTGTATTTTTACAATATTGTTAGTGAACATTTTTAATCTGTAAATCGTACAATTACAATTTTTAAATAATTGTTTAAGTACAATAAGCATGAAATTGTTTTTGTATTCCTATTTACAGATCAAATATATGTTTGAACTGTATGCAAAAATGTCTGTAAGATAAATTACGTGATTCAAGTGAATTCAACTTTCCGTAGTAATGCATATTTAGATTTAGTAACAGTTATAAGTGCTTCAAGGGTAAGTGCAAATACAAGATAAACAAAATAAGAATAGAAAAAGTTATGGTTAAAAAATTTTCATGCATACTTTGAATATTACGCGTATTAAAAACGGTTATACATGTTTATCAAATAAAATAAAGTTACGGCAAAAAAATGCTGAATTTTAAATTAAATACAACAAAATTTATAATTAATAACTTAAATATATGTATATGCTTTATTAAAACTTCCAAGCACTATATTTGCCCTAGCTTTGTTTAAGTAATTTTTAAGAGGTTATATATACAATATATTGACACTTTTATCATAGTTAACTATCTACTTTACTTCATTTAACTTTTCACAAACAAACATCTACTCACTGTATGATTATTAAAATCCTTGTGTGCTTACAACTCTCACCACCAAATTTGTTTAAAAAGAAATGCCTGGCTGTGTGAGTCGGTTAAGGCACACGAGGATGTACGTTGAAATGATTTTTTTGGTCTGCTTTTACTTCCCGTACCTGTGTAGCCTCGTTGCATGGCTCGAAGATACGTAGAAAATGTGCGCGCCAGCAGAGAAATGAACATTGAATCAGTGCAGTGATATGTGCAAGCAATGATAGCGAGAGAGCGTTAAAGTGATTGMGAATGCGAGCGCGTGAATACATTTTTGGGGCTCATCTGGAACTACTGGGGGCTCGGGAAACTCGTTGTAGCGTAATATCCTCAAAACCTGTTTTCTTTTTTATCAAAGAGCAAACCAAAGTTGTTGTGTTTTTTTCTTTATTTATATATTATGATTCAGTGAAAGCATGTCGTCGTCGTCGTCGGCCGCGATTTGTTGTTGTACAAGGCAACCTACACAAACAATAAAACAATGAATCTGAAAACTGAGGAACGCTTCCGCGCAACCCCACAAACCGAAATCGAAATGTAACTGAAACCAATGTGTGACATAAAAGCACATCGCTCCTCTTATCTATATAAACAAATGTACATAACTCTGCATAGCGAAATCAGTCTGACTCTAATCGTGCTATTGCTTTATTTATGCAATAAGTCGATGACTATGACGAAGACGAAGTCGACGGGTATATCACGATTTCACTACGGAAGGGTTTGTATAAAGATTTTATCCCGATCTTTAAATCGTTTATTAATACGTGTATCGATTTTAATTACAATGAAATTAGTATATAAATATAAACTATATAATACTTATTTTGTTTAGGTAAAGCAGAATTTTGTTAAATGAGAGATAAATATTAAACATTTTGCAAAAAAAGAAAAATTCCAAGTTTCATAATTATTTACCTAATTACTCATTGGATTCCATTACTTCTCCAAGAGTACTTTAAATCCTGCGTATGTGGCATCAAGATGTCTTTTCAAACTATTTTTTTCTTACTTTTATTGAATTTATTATACTTAGATATGAACCACATATCCCTTCATAAAAAGCGCGTTGCAGTTTCCAATTTGTAGTTTTTTCACATAATTTTACTTAGAGTGATTTTCACTCAAGCTCATTTATTTACTCCCTAAATTAAAATCCTCTTGTACGATTCTAGAAATAAACACTATAAATGCTTTCAACAAGTTAAGGAGGTAGGAAGCTTAATAAGTGATTTAAATAGATATTAATAATAAAAATAAATAATATACAAATTTACATGAGAATTTCCTTAAAGAATAAATCGCGACGTTTGTACAGATCACTTGTCGCTTGGCTTCGAATAATCTACGAAGAACATTTCATGTTGTTTATTCGATTTTGTTTTAAATAAAATTAGATACAAATTAAATTTATATCTTTTGTTTTATTTTTGGTTTTTTTGTTACAATAATTCATGTTAATGCTTTCGCCAAAAATTTTTCAGATTTGAATTCTATCGATTTTTGTACTGGCGATAATACATATAATAAATAATAAATATTAAATTTATCGAAACGTGAAATATCAAACATAGCAATTCATCAAGAATTTTTTTCGTTAAAAAATTGTAAGAAAAATAATTATTTGATATCATTTGATAACCAGATAGTCAAGAAATGATTATTTTGCATATTATGTACATATATATTCATTATTATTTTGTTTTGTCCCTAAAATGCTATTATTACAAAAATACGAAAAATTTAAACATAATACTTTAACCCTCAATTTCACGCCATCACATTTGTGATAGTTGCTAGCTTGACATCTTTCTCTACTAAATACTAATAGAAAACAGTATATAATAACATTAATCATTTGTATGAATATCAATTTAGTCCGTTTTTAGGTTAAGCGAAATTTTAAATATATATTTATTTTAATTTAATTGAATTACGTAATTCCTACAAAAAACAAAATGTTTCACAACTAATCATCAAATTCTCTCTATATGCATATTTTTTGTAGGCGTGATGCAAGCGACCACAATGGGCGGTGCAAAATTGGAAAAACGGTACTCGCCGAGTTTCCGCGAAGAGCCGGTGCGTAAAATGAGCACCACAAAACGGAAACGAGATGATGTGCTAAGGTAGGTAAAAATCTTCATAAAACAAAAAACAAATTTTTCAAAAATTTATTGAAAAACATTTTACATATTTATTGCTCTATATTAATACAAACATACATCAAAACTATACATGTCAAATGACCCAACAAACAAATATGGCAATGAATTTTTGCTTTTATTTTAGATATAAAGAAATTACTTTCAATTTATGTTTGCGTGTGCGCGTGTTGCAAAAACAAAAAAATATACAGATTTGTGTACGTGATACCAAACTCTCCATAGCGAGCTAACTTTTGCGGGTATGAATTGAAAAATAAAACATTATTTTTGTAAATAAATCTTTGTTTATAAATTACAAAATATGTTTTAACAAATTCTTGTGATAAATTCATAACGAAGACTAATTAAATAATGAAATTCGTATGAACCTATCCAAAGCACAAAACATGTTTCCATGTCCCCCTATATTTCTTTTAGGCCGCCATTAACGACGACCACCATCAACCAATTCACATTGAGCAATATTGTTGTTTGATATAAAACCGTGTGTTCAAACTCAAGCACGCAGTCGTAATAAAACAAAAATAAGGTAACAAGCTCAAAAGCCAAACAAATCGCCGCCCCCCAGTGAAATAAATGAGCGAGCARGCAAACGAACAAACGTGCGCCTGTTTGGACGCCTTTAACTCGCTGCTGCCCCCATCCCTACAAAACACTGGAGCCGCACTGCACCGCACCGCACATAGCCACTCGACTCCTTGCCAGCCAGTAGCGAAACGCCGACCGAATAGCCGCTAACGCAAAGCATGGCCGAGCGCTGCTGTTGACGATGAGCTGGGAGCCTAGAGCGGAATACAAGGCAGCGATCTGTAATGCCTCCATTATCGACACACAAACTCGTTGCATAGAAATGTATACAATGTATTGCAAGTCATATTCTATCGTACTTAATAAGTGCATCATTAGATTTTTAGAGTTAGAGTTGTTATCTTACATAGGTAGGAAGAATGTCATTTTGTAGTTGTAATAATTTACATAGGTAAAAAAAAAYTAAAGCATCTTCTTTCACATTTGTTTATTCAACAATATGTAATATTTATTTATTAATTATTAAAATGTGTATAGTATATTTAAAAAATAAAAWATAAAATTAAACAAAAAACAACGTTTCGTTTATGCAATTTTTAATGCCTACAAGGTTTATTTTTCTTCTTTTCTCTTACAGGATGAAAGTTCATAAGAATGGAAATGCTGCCGATGTTATAAAAAGTATTTCGCAATTAGACAACACAAATAAGCAATGTTAGTATCCATAGAAGAAATTGGTGTGGCCACTTGCGACCAAATAACCAACCAAACATTCAACAACACTAATTTTTTGTCAACAAAAATTTCATATTTCACATGTCATGCATATTTTAAATGCATTCAATAGCCACAAGTCTAACTTCAAAGTTAATGTTCGTATGCCATCAATTTAACGGAACTCGTATTTTGTCAACGCCATCAGTCATCAAAATATCCTGTTCAAATTCATAATTTCATTAGATTCATATTCGGATTAAACTGATGCTTTGGTTATATCGCAGCTCTCGTTGTAGGACGAACTCCTTTTCAAACCATTATAATGTACTGTTCCTCACAGACTCGGAGTTCTCAGGAGAACCGGATTCTCTGCAACGATACTTTGCAGATTTTTTCTCCATTAATCCATTACAATTATCTCCGGACACCGTTTTTCTCTCTACGGTCCCATATACATATATGTAATGATCAGTCTGTAACATATGTTTAATTCGATTTATGATCAATTTTAGATTGATACAACACATTTGTTAAAAAATTTTAATAATATCTAAATTAATATTGTGGCTTTTTACAAAATTGGGAAGTTTTTACATCGTCGCTAAGGATACCTTGTTAGAGTAGTGTTTTTCGATTTCGGCATATGATTTTTTATTTTAAATAAAATTACTTTTTTTATATATTATATAATTTTGAAACAATTAAGGTAACTTTTTTGATAAAGGGGGATCAAATAGTTGAAGCAGTTAATTAATAATAATTCATATTCATTAGATCATCTGTCGTCATTGAGTTGCATGTTTTTGTGTTGACTAGGTAAATAGGCTGAGTTTTTTATTTTCGTTTTGGTGGTCACCAATTGGATAACTAATGGATTTGGAAGAAAGGATTGGAGGAAGTTTTCTTCATATAAGTGAATAAAGAATATTCGCAAAAACTTCAGGTTTCTTTTTATGACGATTTGAGCTATGATCACATTGATCAATAAATTTACTCCATTCTAAWTCCAATTTTTAAATTTTCAAATCTTGTAAAACAAATCATTCCGGTTACGCGGACCAGGTGTTCTACTCTTGTCTTTCAAGTTTCTAGATTCTTTTTTGTATAGAAAGAGGTGTCATTACGACAGTGCGGTTTGCGAAATTTTATCGATGACTAATCACGGTTTCGACTGCCTGACAGATTCCTAATATTCGAATATGTTTCTTTAATTCCTTATGTATTACGCAACTTTAACCAGTTGAATCCACTCAATACGAAGCGAGAGTCATCGCTCAACCACAGTATTCGCCAGATTCGGCTCCCTGTGACTTTTCTGTTTTCGAARCTGAAAAATCTGCTACGAGGAACGCGACATGAGTGCCTTGAGCCAAGCATAAAAATCGTCAGATAGACTTTTCGCGTCATAAACAAAGAGAAAGAGATTAAKGTAAATCATATGGAGATAAAATTGCACGCGAACATGAGAAGGTTATACCATTATAAGCAAATGTTTTTACCTAGGACCAAAGGCTAGTCAAGTTCGATTTAGAGAGTATTTTTTAGTTGACTTGTCGTATTATAGTATGTAAGGGTCTTTGCTGTTCTCTGATATTCATCCATCAGTAAGTCTTCTACATTTGTAACTAGGTTTCCTAACATGTGATGAGAATGTGATTTTTACAGGCAATCGATTGACGAAGGGCACGTGAAAGATCTAAAAATAAAAATAGTGCATTTACGTGGCTACCAAAGGCTCATAGTCTTTCTGCTTAGCTCAGCGTAATTTGACACAACGTCGCTTACTGGGCAAACTTTAACAGCGTTTGTGAAAAATTAGCTTTTGAGGTGACCAACGAACATAAGAAGGAATTTTCCGTATTTTTCTTTTCTATTTCAATTGTCTGCCCTCCGCTCATTTACTCACATACATATGTATATTCTGTTTCTAATGAAGATAATGTGTGTGGAATTTCTACTTAATAAAATATATTCATTTTTATTTTTTAATGTAATACATTTATTAACCATTTTCATTATTTTTCCAAACATAAATCTCTTTGCAGATTTCCTTATGCTCGAGAACATCACTTCGCAATTTCGTAATCCATGTATTTTGGACTTGAAAATGGGCACACGTCAGCATGGTGATGATGCCTCGGCGGAGAAGCGCTGCAAACAAATGGCCAAGTGTGCGGCTAGCACCTCGGCATCGTTAGGTGTACGCCTTTGTGGCATGCAAACCTATCAGGCGCATATCGATCAATATGCCAAGCGCGACAAATATTGGGGACGCGAGTTGGATGAGAGTGGCTTCAAGCAGGCTTTGCATGACTTTTTCTACAATGGCTATCGATTGCGTACACGCGTTATCAAGAAAATTGTACAGCGTTTGCTACAATTGCGTCGTGTTATCGAAAAACAATCCAGTTACCGGTTCTACTCGTGGTGAGTGGGGAGAATGAATTCTATTTTATATTATATTTTTACTAAACTTTATGCTTCACATTTCTAGTTCACTACTCATTGTTTATGAGGGCTATGAGGAAAATCCACAGGCTCATCCCATGGATGTTGAGGAGTGGCTTACACCTACCACGCCGAAGTCAGCTACAAAGTCCGCTACTTTCGACTATCATCCTGATAACAGTATTGATGATGATGACATCGACGATGACGATGAAGATGTAGTAGATGCCGATGATGACACTGCCGGTCATGATGGTGGTGATGAACTGGAGCTACACGAAACAGAGGATGATGACCTGCATATGGTTGCAGCGGATAGCGGTAATGCATCGGCGACCAATAGCAGCACCGGCGGTGATCCATGCTGTTATGATGCTGATGCCTCAAATGATTCTACGAACGCAGCCGGTCTGAATCTCCCTGCCACACGTCGCAAACGCGGTTTGACAGAGGCAACTCTGGAGAGATCGCGTGGCTTCGCAGATGTAGTAACACCAGTGCGCGGCTTTGATGAGGACTCAGCTGCATCAGCTACAGCTGCCAATACTATTAATGATGCAGTATCCATGCCACCACCATCAATAGCAGGATTAAGTACAGATAGCAATAATGCTATGTCCACCGGTGGCAGTAACAYTAATCCGCCATTCATTCCAATATCCGAAGACACAGTATTCCTCGATCCCGAACCACCCATGCCAAGCGTTTCGACATCTTCACCGCACTCGGGCGACTCTTGGATGAACTATAGCAGCAATAGCAGTGATGACTTCTCCGGGCTTTCTGAACAAATCAAAGCGGTCACCAGTGGTCGCCAAACGGGCGATAACAGTTCGGACGAGGCCAGCTCTGATTATGATAGCAGCATAATTGGTCAAACAGAGGTGATGCTGAAGCGTTACAAATCTCAGCAAGAATCCTTCGATATTTCGCCTTTGACGCAAACGGCCGAAATGCCGCTTATGTCAGCAACAACAACAGCGCGTCTACCGCACACGCTCGCCTCATCTGCGTGTTCTACACCACCGCTGCCGCCGGGAAGTGTTGGAAAAYTATCTGCATCCGTTGCCAACTCTTCCCCCACCTCCTCGACTGCGTCCTCTCTGAAATCAGTGCGCGGTGCAGTTAAACGTCTGCGTTGCAAAGACGCCGACGATGAGGATGAAGTGACAGCCAGCGATAATAAAAAAGACGCTATATCGACGTCTTCGCAAGCGAAAAAATCAACAACAACACTGAGTCTAAGCAGCGTAGTTACGGGCGCAGGGAGTAGCAGTAGTGCTGCACCAGTGTCGTCKACACCGACGTCCGTCAACGCATCGCCGGTGAAAACGCCGCTCATGACGCCGACCTCAACAACATCCGGCACTGAGAGCACAGTAGATAAAATCAAGAACACACTGCTCGCTGGCATACAGGAGATACACAATACGAGCAGGAGCAACAACCACAGCAATAATGTAAGCAAAAAGAAAGCCACAGCGACGCGGCTAACTTTACAACATGCCTCCAAATCCCTGGATATCGCAGGCTGTCAAGCATCCGCAACTACCGAAGATGCACGATGCCTTGTAGATGTGCGTCTYATTGACTTTGCGCACACAGCATTCGTGCCGCGCAACGGTGGCGGATTGCTGCAGCAGGCAACCACCAGCACTCCCGTACATCATGGACCAGATGGTGGTTTTCTAACGGGGCTAGACAGCTTAAATCGCTTACTCAACGATATTCTTACCGAAGAGGTCTGCGTATAAGCGTGCTGTGCACGCATAAAACAGCATGCAACATTTAATTGGTTATGTGCCGATTTGCACCTCTACACGCTGAACCAGTGTAAGCAAAACGTCAGAAGTTTGAAAAACGCTTCGAGCGGAGACCTTACGCGTATTTATTTCACACACTGAAATACAAATCCACCAACAATTACAAATACAACGTAGAGGGTATATACGCGGCAGCAACGCAACCAGCCTAGACAAAACTAGCCCTCCACAAGCCCCCACCATTGCACAATTGACTGAGTATGCGGCGTGAATGGAAATTTTTGGAAAAACAAAAACAGCGAAACGTGTGTGACCGTCTGTAGGGAGCGTTTGAACAACTACATTTAAGTGTAAAATAGAAATTAATAACTACAAATTATAGGAAAAATGTTTATGGAGTAATTGGATTTTGAGAACCGTGCAACCGAGAGAGAAATAGAGTGAAAGGGAGTGAAAATTGAAGTGACGCGCACAGCGTTTGGCAGCAATATATCCACGTAATTAAGCTTTTTTAAATTAACAATTTTAAAGTGCTATTGGCGTAGGGGCATATTATGAGGGCAACTAAACAAAAATCGTAAAAAATTCGAAAACATAATTAAAAAAACTTATATATATTTTGTAAAATGGCTACTTATTGACAACGTTTAAATTTTTATAAAATCACATTAACAAAAAAAATTATAAACGTATAATTTGGAAGCGTTTTAAGCAAAAATTAAAAACGCAATACAAATATATCTGAAATATTAAAATTTTTAATAACAAAATTTTTACCATTTGCATTATAACAACTTTAAAATAAATAATACATAAATACATACATATTCATATTCTATATCAACCTGATAAAAGTTTCAAAATCCAAACATTGACTAATGCAATTAATCGGCAAACTTAAATACTTGCAARAATTAGCGCTGCAATGAAAATTACTGTCGGCTGAACGTATGCAAACTTAGTTTGTGCAGAATAAATTATTAATGCAGTATTGATAGAATATGAAATRAAATTGGATTTCGTAAAAAGAGGAGTTTTTCATTATGAAACCTTTGKATATTGAGCATTATTTGTTTAGCGATGATTTCGCTAAACTGAAATTGCAGTTGACTGTCAAAATGTACCATGTCATTTGATTAACTAACAACAAGCAATGATTGTTGTCAACAACCAATCGTGAAGTAACACACCTTGCACAATAAATGTCTTCCTCTGCAAATCGAAAATGATGTAAAATATCAAAAAATTAAAAAAAAATAGTTGTATCCTGCTTTCAATGGTACTCAAGAAAGTGAGATATTGTGCAAAATTAAGAACTTTGAGCATTACTTAGTGCAGTAATTGTTTTTGAAAATCGGTTGTTGATCGAAACTTGGATCAGCACTTCACGCATAAACATTTTTGCATTACAAAAAAAATTATGAAAAACTAAGTCGTAAATGTTCAGATAAAAACAATGCTTCTCTGCTGAGCTTAAAAGCATAACAYAAATTCAAATACATACTAATTAGTGGGCACTAAGTTTACTTTGAAATTATCATTATATGTATATTTTTA